GAAAAACAGAAACTGAAACTGGACATCGCGACGTTTCTTGAGATGCCACCCAACTGGAACCAACAATGCAGCAAAATGTTATAGCGCAAATGCCATATACAGTTGCGCTATTGCCAATGTCCTCCTGGCCAACGGGCTCGCAGTTCGCATAAAGAGCATCGGAGACAAAAAAATACGTACACATCATCATTGTCAATTGCCGGATGTGGGCCAGACGCAAGGAGCATCTGGATTGGTATCGGGAGGGGTTATATAAATGGGAATGGCAAATGAAAGGGGGCTAAGTTTGTGGTGTGTGTGTGTGTGTGAGGGGGGGTAACAACAGCGAGTGAAGCGAGCAATCGCTGCTGCTGTATTCATTGTTGCCACGTAATTGCATTTCGCTATCGCAGATATTTATAGCTCCACTCGGTCAAGAGCAGCTTCTAGCCGGCAGCCAGCAGGCAGCAACCAGTAGCCCATTGGCCAATAGCTACCAGCTCCTACAGTGGCCATACTTTTGCCAGCAACAGATTTTTTTTCGCAGCAAACGCGGTCAACCGCAAAAGCGCAGCAGCAATAGCAGCAGCGGCAAAGTCGTTACAAGGATAAGGGATAAGGGCGTCAGAGTTGAGCGCATTGGTACTTGTTGTATTTTAATACTCTAGCAGCGGGCATTATAATATTATCACGCAATGTGTAAGTCATTTAAGGACACCTTTCCAAACCAATAAATTATATATTGACTTTATTAGCATCAAACGCAGAGTCGATATATCTATGAGTCTAACTTGGCTTAAAAGCTATCTTGACAGAACTTTGGTTTTAACTGTAATTTTGCCACAGGGTAGCACATATATCTCAAGATCGGATAATGTTGAATAGCTGCCGTTGGAAAAACACATTGTGAATATCCGACTTTGTTTATCATCATTTATCGGTCACATTAATGAATTGTTTATTTGTAGTTATCTTTATGATAATATTACAAGAAATATTTTTTAAGTCACTCCATTTTTTTTTTAGATTTATTTAGGGTTAAGATTAAATTAATAATATTTTGTGTTTTTGATGACTTCTTTTTTGTAATTGAAATGAGCACAGGGACTTTGTTTTGAAAGGGTGTGCAATCTTCTGTGTGATGTTCTTACTTGTTGTTGTTTTTGTGGCTGCTGTTGATGTTGGTGTTGAGCATTAGTCCTGGCCAGGCAAATAAAAATAAGCAATGCCTGGTCGCGCTTTGTCATTGCAGTTGCTGCTACTTCTGTTGTTGTTGTTGTTGCTACTGTTGTTGTTGTTGTTGTTGCTGTTATTGCCATCATCATGAAGCACATTGAACACCAAGCACTGAGCACTGAGTACTGAACATTGGCATTGCATTTTGCAACGCAGTGGACAGCAGCAGACCAGAAGCCCTGCCGTCCAGCAGCCCATGCAAGTTGAATATAATTTTTTTTCGCTTCAATTTGCACTCTTTGCCCACTTTTTTCTGATCTTGGCACTTATGTATATACATACATACATACATACATACCAGTAAGTAGTACGTAAGGCACTTGACAGCTGCAGCGCATTAGTGGCCACTTTAACAATGACCACCGGCGCTGGCCAATTTTTATTGAATCGAGGCGTCTTCACTCTCAAGAGGAGACCACTTTTGAATGACGGCTTATGCTCGGAACCTGGCCTGTCCTGACGTTGATAAGCTCACTTCTCAGCTGCAGGCCCAACTGAGTTGGGTCTCACAATTCAAAAAGCAAGCCAGCTTATTCATATCAATTTATGCAGGCGGCATACACACATATATGCAATCGATTTATGGAAGAGTTTACCAGTGCTTGGCTATACTTAACAAATGTTTAACCTTTCTATGTAAATTTAGTTGGCAGTTGCTTGATTTGGTAAGATTTTAAGTCTTTAACAAATGTGATTCGTTGCTGAGCGAATATTCCACTTTAAAACTTTTGTTTTGATTCTTATTTTTTAATTGTCACTTGGCATCTTTTTTAAATTTAAATTATAAATTAACATTTTTTAGTAGATGAAGAGAGATGATGAGATGAGAGTTTATTTTTTCGAACAATATTTTTAACATTTAGAGTCTCTGATGGAGCTTTATGTTAATCAATTTTAGTATCAATAATTCGAACTAATTTTTAAACATCTTTGAGAATTGCTTAATGCTAAAATTAGTATCTTATTATTATTTTTATCTCCTGAATGATAGTTTAAGCGGTACATGTTTTTCTTTTAATCAATTTGGAAAATTTCTTTGAACCTTTTCATTAGTTTGTCTCTTAAATAAATTGAAAACGTTGATAGCCTTGTGTATAATTGATTGTGAGTTTCGAAACTATTATAAAACCAAATGTTCAGTTACCTGCTTGCTTGGGCTGATGGAGTTGCTGTTAGCAAGTTTTGCCAACTTGATGCTGATGTGCTGCACTTTCTGGGCTGAAATGGAAATTTGACCTCCACTTGTGCTGTTACAAGCAGCAATTGGCATATAAATTTGCCACACACACACACACACACAGGCACACACAGGTACACACTCAGTCTCACAGTCGTACAAGCATGTAAATGTTATTGCAAGCATAATTTCCTTTTCTGCCTGCTGCTGTAGTTGTTGCTGCTGTTGTTGTTGCTGCTGCTGTTGTTGTTGTTGGTGTTACTGATGTTGTTGTTGCTGCTGTTATTGTCGTAGTTGCAGTTGCAGTTTTTGCACGTTATACGAGCCATTTGCAGCAGCAACTACATGCGACTGCATTGCGGCAGTCTTGCTGTTGCCTTTGCTGTTGCCTTTGCTGTGCCTCACTTGCCGGCAACGGTAATTGCCATTGCAGCAGCAGCAGCAGCAGCAACAGTACTTGCAACAGCAACAGCAGCAACAGAAGCAGCAGCAGGCAAAGGCAAAGTCAATTTTAGGTAAAAATTTCTAAAAATAACAATGCATAATTTACGTTTTGGCCAAGTCAAGCAATGTTACCAATGTAGCAGCTGGCAATGGGGCAAAATAACTGCCGTCTGGCTATATAATAAATAGAAAAGGATATGCGAATGCTGGCCAAAGGACATTGTTTTTGTTGCTGTTGTTGTTGATGTTGTTGTTGGTATAGTTTTTCATGTTGTTGCTGCTGTTGTCATTAGCCGTTGTGCAAATAATTTACTCAACCACATTCACTTCGATAACTAACCATTGTGATGTTACTCCTGCTGCTGTCTAGCGGCCATTATAGCCATTGTCACACATACGACTCGTGTGTGTGCCACTGCTGCCACACTGCTACATACACACACACACACACACACACACATTCGATCTCTCTTAGCGTGTGTGTGCGTGTTCCCTTATTGATTTCAATTAACATGCAACAGCATGTCTCTTTGGTGTATAAATATGCACACACTGAAACATACTCATGCACTGAGAGAACAACTCTTATAAATCTGCTAGAAATATGCTGAGAAAATAAGGCGTTTATTTTAGATATAGCTCAGATTTACAGTAAGCAAGCAAACTTTTCTTTTCATTGTTAAAGAATTTACGATATTGAATAACTTTACAATTGAATCACATTTTTGATAGTTATGAAACAAGTATGCAAAGTTCAGAACCAGCAATGACTGGTATTAATTTTATAATAATATATAGTTTTACAACAATTAAAGCTGTACTTGTTGCTGGCTAGTTTTGAATTCAACACAGCTTCATTTGAAACGTTAAACGTAGGTGAGTTCTCATGACGGAGTTGAATTCTGTCAGTGTATTGGCAAGCATAGATGGAGGCTGCATGGTTGCCGGCTCGTGCTGCATGCAACATTCAATCGTTGTCGTCTCTGCTGGCATTGTCTGCAGCTGATGCTGCTGCTTTTCAATCTTTTCGTTGGCTAATGTTACACTTGTGCATCGTTACAGTTTTCCAGTATCGATGCCACTTAGTGTGTGTGGTCGTGGGGTGGCAGAGGTCACTGCTGATGCTCTTCTTTCAATAATTATCAATTTGTGAGCACATGTGTGTGCGTGTGTGTGTGAGTGTGTGTGTGTGTGTGTGCATAGATTTGGTTCGTTTTGTTTATCTACTTGTGTTTAGGTTTAGGGCATTTTGCTGATGCTATATGTTGGGCAAACAGTGCGTATGCGTGTTGTTTTGTGTTCTGTTGTGCGATGTTGTTTTCTGTTGTGGTTGTTTGCTCTTACTGCTTACAGTAAATTGTGCATAAAAGTTGTGCTATAAATTGTGTGCCTAGTCTCTGACATTCTTGAGCTTGCTTTAAGCCGGACAGCTGCAATCTCTGCAGCTTGTTCGACTGATTTAAATATTTGTTTTATGTCGATGCACACATTCATTCATCCAGCAGTGCAAATATGCCTACTTCTAATCGTGCAAATTGCTTATTTTTTTTTATCGATACTCCTATATTCAGAGTCATGTATAAATATTTACCATACAGCAAACAAAGTGAAACTGATTTTAATTGAAAGCTGTATATATACTAGAAAATAATATAAATACAGTGACACAGAAATCTCTTGCAACTAAAAGCTACTTTCAATTGGGTGCTATAAGGACTGTTTTTGGTTTGGTTGTTTGTAAAGCTCCAGTGCTTTGACAAAGGTTTTCAGATAATGCAATTCTTGAGAAATACTTTAATAAACGATTAAAACAAAAAAGTTGTGCTCAGTAAAATTATTTAACTGGAATTACTTAAGAGCATTATTAATTTTCATCATTAAATTCATAATTTTGCTTTTTCTAAGTCTGCAGCACAACATTTAGGCTATCTATAGTGAAATCATACAGATGCCAACTTTAAGTTAAATTAAACTTATACTTTCTCCAAATTATAATTTCTCCTCTAATTCAATTACAGTTGACAAGCTTTTAATTAATTTATCGTTTGCTCATTTGAATACCGATAACCGAAATCGCTGAATTTTCTATAACTTTTTGTCGTCGATAGAGTTGCATATACTTACCCATTTAACTTCCCATTTAATAATGAAATAGTTTAGTAAATTTGTTTGTTTTCTTTATTTTTATCAAGCTTAATATATAAATTGGCAGCTATATATACATTGCATATACTAATGTGTGTATGTGCTTCGGCTGTGTTGTGTTTAATAATTCTTTGACATTTGGTTAATAAGTTAAGTTAAAGTTGAGTTTTCTTTCTCTGCTACCAACTACGACTCTTTTGTGGCTCCAGCAAGTGCTAATGAAGCCAATTATGTATGTATAATAATAGGTATATATTTATATATATATATGAAATATATGTATATATTTTACAGGTTTAGCATGCGCGGTCTTTAGGGTATTGTCTTGGATACTAAATACTTCATCGTTGTTTAATTTGCTTTCATTATGTAAGTTGTGGGTAGTCGTTATTTGTAAGGCTTCTCTGTCTCTACTTTTTTTCAGTCTTTAAAGTCAACTGTTTAAGAATATATAGCTGTATATATATATATATATTTATATATATATTTGTGTGTGTGTGTGTGTGTGAGTATTTCTTAATATTCTTTGTGCATACTTAACGCTGTGTGGCAAGCCTTTTTCAACCCGCTGTTATAGCGGCTGTAACTGCTCCTTGCTTTTGGCATCTTATTCCTGGCTGGTGGCTGTTGGCTGTTGGCTTCTTGCTCATTATGCCACAATTTCAGGATGGTTGCTGATATCCCAACTGCCTTGGCTTTTGTGTGTGCTTTATTTTATTTGTTTTATTTACTTATTTTTCTGTGGTAATTTTTTTTTGTTTTCATTTTTTGTATTGTTTAAAAGCCCAATTTTTTTAAGGCTTTGAGGTCTACATCGCCATAGTAATCCTCGCTATAAACGAAATATTAAAAAATACATGCATAAATATAAATGTTGTGTTTTTATACCCTGCGTTTACTATATTTCAAGAAAGGCACACTGATTTTTGCTTTAGCTTTACGTTGATTTGTTTAATTAAATTCTGTTTTGTGAAAATGCTTTTGTTTGTTTATTTTATTTCTTTTCTTTGTTTTCCTACCTCGCTTGCCACGTGTTTGAGTTATTGTTTGGAATGCTGTGGAATAATATTGTAACAGGATACAGTTAACAAGAACAAATTGTATTAAGTAACAATCAGCAGAGGCAGAATTTTCTGTATTTTTTTAAACTTATGTTTTCAGTCCCTGATATGCTGTGATATTCTGATTGCAACATTTCTGAATAGCTGTGTAGCCCAGCCATCGCGCCCTTTGTCTAATAAATCAACAAAGGATTTTTTTATGATAACAATAATTAAAAAAATAATTTTGTTAAAAATAACAACAGTTTGTTCTTGTAAGAAGAGCTGATGAAAAGGCGACTTGTGCTGCTGGTGCCGCTGGAGCTGCTGCACAAGGATTTGCTTCAGAGCCCGCAGAATGTCCGATGTTGAGGGCAAAGCAACAGGGCATCAAGGATTAAAAGAAGATGCTCGCTTGTATCATGACATCCCGCAATAACAACAAAATCAACGGCTCGAGCCACAACCACACACATACAGACTGAGAGAGAGAGTGGCCATAGGGAAACAGCAAATTGGCTTTAAAGCGCGCCAGGACACATGGAGAAGGCAGGAAGAGGGGAGGACGAAGGCGATGTCAAGCAACAGCAGGACATGTACGCAGAACTTCATAGAAAATGCGCGATGCGGTCTGTTCGAGTCCAGCAAATGACAAAAAGCACAAAGCTATTAAATTAAATTAAATGGAATTGTCTAAAACCCTAGGACATGGCATAGTAAGCCACAAAATATGGACAGAAATTGTTTGCTATCTTTCTTTTCTGTATTTTTTTTTGTATTTTTATAATATTTATTTCTGTGTGCATTGTTTTTGCCGAAGATAATGCGCTCTGTTAGAGCTAGACTGTATATATATATATATATATATATATATATATATGATATATAAGTATTATATATTTATGTGGTCTTAGCGTTTAAGTATTGGCAGGCAGTTAGTTTAATGTGCTTGCTGTGCGTTTATGAGATCATTAAAATTAATTAGAGTCAAAACGTTAAAAGGATTTTCACAGACAGATAAACAGAGTGGTTATTATCCATCAACAGCAGAATCAGCAGCAGAAGCAGCAGCAGAAGCCACAGAAGTCCTGCTCTCTGCAAGGACATGGCTATATTTTTGTATCTTCCTTTCGCGACTGTGTGGCAAGCGGGTTGTCTAACTTTGTTTAATCATTTATGTTTATAAAACACTTTTATGTCCTGCCCTAACCCCACCCCGCACCCACACTTCCCCAACATTCATAACTCTCGCTTCCTCAGTTTATCCCCCTCGGATCAAATCTGCTGCTGTTAACGGAGCAAAGGACTCACTACCAGTGCAGATGCGCTGCAAAACACTTTTAATTGGAGATTGCTCACAGCTACAAAAAGAAGAAGAAAAAAATAGTACAATAATAGCCACGTTAAAACTGCGTTCAGCAGGTAAAAGCAAAATATGATAACAAGACTTGGAAGTCTTTGTTGTTGTCCTTGCCAGGTTTTGAGTTGCATTTCATTCCCTCTTTCTCTCTCTCTCTCTCTCTCTTCTAGTATCGCTATCTCTGTTGCATTTACCACACTGTTAAGTAGACCAAGCAACAAACGGGGCCAAGAACGAATTATGTGCATTTCGGCCACTTTCTACAAATTTATCCAAAAATGTTGCAGTCCTTTTGCGCACGCTTTCAACCAACCAAGCTATGCTTCCTCTTTCACACACACACACACACATACACACCAAATGTCCTTTCTGACGCTTAGGCAACTTTGTGCAGTGCCTGCGCCTTGAGTTCTGTAGAGTTTTATAATTTTTATTTAATTAGTTTTAAAACTCTTTCAAAAATGTGGCAAGTATGCGTGTGCATGTGTGTGTGTGTGTGGTTGTGCACACAAAACACACACTTACACACACACATACACAGAGCCAAAATTCAACGGCAAGCAGGGAATAGTAAAGTTTTGCCAGCTTTTATGATTTAGTGAAGGAGAGCAGCCTTCCCGTTTCCCTACTCTGCACTGTCATCTGCTAGTTTTGGCGCTTTTATCGAGGTACCACTGCCCACGTGCTAGTGTGGTGTCCTTGTGTGCTTGTGTGCGTGTTTGGTTCTGCCTGCAATTGTGTTGATAATTTGAAAATTCATTTAAAGTTTTTGTATCGCGTTTTGTTTATAGAATCTAATGAATAATTAACAAAGTTCTTGTGCATTTCAAAAGATGTCAACGACGCTAACTCTGCAGTCGCAGTCAACGCTGCCGTCGACAGCATTGCCAACGTCTTCGCTGGGCCTGGCCGAAAAGGCTGCCAACTTTTCATTTGCGACAAATATGGCTGGCGTCGCAAAGTTTTCTGTTTACTTATTATTTACATACTCTACGACTTTACAACAGCAAAGTCTGACAACCGAAATAGCGCAAAAGCACATGCCGCCTCCCTCCACTCCTTCAACCCACCCTCACATGGATTTTTCCCACATCCCCCAAAATTATAAATAATTTACGAGTGTTTATGAGATTGCCTCATACTTTTCACAGTCGTGAGTCGCCCCAAAAGATTGTTTGACTTGCAGTTGCTCAAATGGAGCTTTAAATCGTGAAACTGGGCTAAACCTTTGTCTAGGTGCTGCTTTGCTTTTACTTTCAGTACGTTCTGAGGGTCTTTAAAGTACTGGGTTCAGATTTTGGTGCAGAGAGCTTGAAAACGATTTTCAAATATTATTGTGGTTAAGAGGAAAATTACAGGCTTGATGGCAGATTGATGGAAAATACATGGATTAAAGAAAGGATTAAAGTAAGGAATGTGAAGAATGTAAAAGTTCAAGTTCCCAAGAAATTTTCATTGAAATAAAAATGAATTTTAATAAAATATTTAACATGCTGAAAAAATAATATATATTTTTAAAGTTGAAAGGCCCAAAAACATTTATCTGATCAAAATCAGCCCAATGGAATGTCTATATAATTAGATATTATATTGGAAACATCCTTTTTCTGGAAGTGTGTGTCTTTTTAGCTTTTCTTTCCACTTTTTTTTTCAGCCTGTTGATAAAAATAACTATTTGTTTTTCTTTTTTAGTTTTTTTGTGTATATTTTTTGTTTTTTTTTTTACGTATAAAATAAAATTATAAGCTTATAAACAAAGATCACTTAAATGTACAAATCTCTCAATTTTACTCTTAATTATGAAAGATTTTTCTCTCCTCGATGTTGTTGTTTTGATTACATATGCTTAAGAATTTTGAAATTTGGAAGACAGACATATGTATCAACAATTTGACTCATGGATGGCATAAAATAGAAACGACAGGAATGTGTACGAAAATTGTTGAGCATTGAACTGATTGATTGAACGATATTGCGTCGAAGAAAGTAGATCGATTTTGGAAAGCGGGTTGAGTATTTTAAATTGTTAGGTGACTTTGTGATGCGAGAGTGGGAAAGTTTGGGGCCAAGTTGGGAATTGAGTTGATATTGTTGTAGTTGTTGTTTTTTGTTTTTGATTTTTACTGTTATAGTATTGTTGCTGTTGTTTTTTTTTTTTTTTTAGTTATTGTTGTTATGTTTATGAGGTGGCAGCTTTGGTTTTGGGCGCTTTCTTGCGACCTTCAGTGTTCAATCCAGCTAGAAGCTCGCTTTTGCGGATGCTCTTCAGATCCAGATCACCATAGTAGTCTTCGCTGCAATTGTAAAGGGACGTGGTAAAGACATATGTGAGAATAGGCCAAGAGATATGTGGTATGTATGTTACAGTGTATGTGTGTCCAATGCATGTTTCATGAATAGATTAGAGTGAGAAAAAAAACCAAAATAAATAATCAGGTGCTGACGACTAAGGCAGGTTTTTGTTTTGTCGCTGTAACTGTTGTTGTCTGTGGTGTCTGGTGGTGCAAGCGTGGTGGCAAAAATAAAACTCAAAACTCAATCACAGGCGATTCAAGCAAATCAAGCAAAACCAGGTGCCGAATATAGTGTATACGCAAATAGTCACGTTTAATTTATATATATATTTATATATACATATTTGTGCAGTTAACTTACCAGCCGGGAACATCCTCGGGATCCTCGCAGTTGCCAGTGCCATCGCTATCGCCAATCTTGAATACAGTGCCAATGGGGCAGCCATATTCACGTGCAACACCCTCCAAGCAGATATAGTACTTGCGGCAATCCTCGGGATGTGCGTGACGCGAGAAGGATCCAGCATTAGCCAGCTCACCAGCAGCTGGGCACGCGAAGCCATTAGCAACCTCTGCAAGGATCAGTTAATTAGCTGAGCTCTTGTTAATTGTCATTTTTTTTTCTAGCTTTCTTACCTTCGTTCTTGCACTCGGGCACCTGATCAGCCCACATGCAGACGCGGGCATCGCGATCGTAGGCCAGGCCGGGAGAGCACTGATATCTGGATGGTTCACCGTTCCAGCAGTTCCAGAACACATCGCATTTGTTCTCATCGGGGAAGATGCCATACAAACGCGAGCAGTGTGGCGTGGTAATTGGTGGTTCTGTGAATAGATAGAAACATTATTAGAAAGTCTTCAATTTGTTTCAACTTGTTTTCTATTTATAACAGTTCCAAAGTTCAAATTAAATTACAATCAAGCTTTGCATATACAATGGACTTTTTCCTTATACGATTTGAGTTCCAATCAATTTAAATAATTGTTTTCATTTATTTTAATTAGGCTTTAATTATTTTTTTTACATTAAAAATACCAATTATTCACAGAGCTTGTGCAATGGAGTTGGAACATGTATTCAAATTTATATATTTTAATCGGGAAATAATAAATATGGCTGAGTGGAATATTTCAACATATTTCATCATTAAAAATAATAGTTGTATTCGTATATATTTAATTAAAAAATGATTCAACTTTCATTCCAGTTACGTGGAAAAACATGTTTAGCAAAGAATTTAATTAAGACAGTAACGGTTTACAACTAATTTGTAAATTTGCGTAGATATTTAGGACTCACCCAGCTCAGTGCGCTCGCCACATTCCACATTGTGCAAGTAATCACAGTTCTCCGTTAGGAATTTGGAGTCGTTGGCATCGAAGGCGAGACCATTGCCGCAGGTCTTCAGTTCGGAGACGCCATTGTCGCACTTCCAGTATTTATCGCAGGACGTATCGTGTGGATAGAAACCAAAATCATCGGGGCATTTGAAGCTCTGTTGGGCCACAGCTGTAATTAAATGCAAGAGAAAAGAGGAGGGCGTTAATTAGGCATATGTGTAAACTCAAATAGGATCGAGTGCAGTTCAAACTAATTGAAATCAATTTGTTGCATTATTTATGGGACATCTAAAAATGTAATCAGCCCCAAAGTGCCCCCATGGGCATGCATGCCATGTTCAAACAATTGCCCAACAATTGCCAATGTCAATGGGCGGGTAAACTGCTATACAATCGCATATGTATATTAAATACCGACACATATACACACAATCTCGTACAATTCAATACGTTTTGATGTGCACAACAATTTGTCATCTTGCGCAAAAGACATTCACTTTAAAAAGTCGTCTGAGACGATGTCTGCCAATAAATCTTCTCTTGGCAACTTTCAACAGACAGCTCTTGAGCTCTAGAGAGACCCGAGATCCACAACATATACTCGTTGGTAGTGCGTTGACAGCTCAGGGCCAACTGCATTTACTTTTAGCGCATGTTTTTGTTGTTTTTGTTGGTGTCTGTTTTTTTTATTATTTTTATTTTTTTTTTTTTTTTGGCGATGAAATTACAGTGTCACCGTCAACGAAATCGACATCCACACCGTTGCCCGAGCCCTGTGGCAGAGTTGAAGCACCTGAAACGCGCCACCAAGGACTTATCATCGTTGCCTCTCTCTCCCGTCTCGCTCACTCTCGCTGTGTTGCACGTTTGGAGTTTAGTGCAACCGCAATGCGTAACGAACTAAATTGCATTTATACACCCTAACTAATGTGGTATTTTTAGCCGGCTGCGCAATGCATTTGATTTAATTTCTTTTCATTTTGTTTTATTGCTAAATTTAAAATAAATGGCAACAGCCGCCAACAAATATTTATTCACGTTACAAAGCAAAAACGAAATAAATACAAAATCGACTCGCTTATGTATATATCGCATATGTATATATCCTGTAACTATCCTCCAATCCCAATGCGCCGCGTGATAATCTAATTGCAAAGCCGCAAAACTGCGGTCAAACTTCAAATGCTCAATCAGAAGTGCGCCTGCCATACCTGCCCTGCTTGCCACGCCCTATTCTCAGTCTGCTGTTAAGCGTATCAAACATCACCACATGAATGTTAAAAACAAAAAACCAAAGTTATAAAAAAATAGCCAGCCTGAAGCGCCTCTTGACAAACCAAACAACATGCAATTTTCATGTTGTGCCAACTAATCAAAAATCAAAATTTATTATAAACTTGCGAATTTGTGTTGTGCACAGCAGAAATCAAACCGTTGGCTATTATGAAATTATTTGTTGAATTTAATTAAAAGTTTTTTCCCATTTTATTTAGCACTGGTGTAAACAATCTGATCAACTACATAAATTCCACAACGCACACACATTCATAAACAAGCATTTTATTAAAATTCCTGGGTTCATATTTGTTATGCGAAATTTTGTGGTCAATGGGTCAGTTGGGAGCTGTTAGTCAGTTGCATTATACATTTGTATGAAGCATGCATTACATGTTTTCTATTCACTTGTGTTTACTATAATAATGTTAATTATAGATATATTTTGATTCAGCAGCAGTCAGTGTTTTTATTTTTTGTTTAGCTGGATTTAACTTTTATATTTTAATTGGATTTAAAATGTAGCTCAACTCAACACATTTTAATGTGCTTAGTTCGCGATATTTTGAAATGAATTTTGCGACTATTTATTTTTGAGGGTGATTTTTAAATTTTGTTTAAAGTTTATTATAATTATTATTATTTCGATGTGATTTTATTTAATCACAATTAAAATTAATTTTCCTATAATCTTCTGCGCAGTTTGTATGGCTAACTTTCTGGTTATAAGTGGGGTGGCTGCGAACCTCAGGTGTGCCGCCAGTAAAGGAACATTTCAAACAGGCACTCTTATGTATACTGCATCCAAGCACTTAGCAGCTGAGCAGAAACACACACACACACACACACACTCAGATATGTGCACACAACATTTAACAACTAACAAACAAAACCAAACTCACGAAGTGTACCAAGCCAACAGTTATAATAATTTAGTTTTGTTGTTGCCACAACCGAAGCAGTTCACAAAAAGCGCAATCCAACATGAGTACAGCAACCATTCAACGTCCCCCAACCAACGCAGCCTCCTTCTAAGGCAAACAGGCCATTGAAAGGGCTTTGGGTATATGGGCATGCCTGTGTATTGCCTGTGGCTGCAACAGTGGCAGCCACATCAGCAGACCGCAACACTAATGCGCTTACATTTCTGTGTGTGTACATAGCAAGGTGCATGCCCACACTGATGATTGCATTGAGATATGTGTGTGTTATGTGGAGAGTGTGTGTGTGTGTGTGTATTTGTCGCGTAGCGTAAATGCCACATGTTAACTAAACAATTACCTTTGAGCAGCTGCTCTTTGCTGCTGGCACAAGTGGCATATACGCAATAAATTGTGGCACTAAGAGAAGCGTCTGGCTAGGGCTATGGCTATAATGAAAGCTAACTGGACAGCGAGTAAATAAAAAAAAAAACCATAGAACTCAAACCATAATATACACTTGGTTCAGATTGAGAGATATTTATTTTAGTGCAATATTTATATTATATGGTTCAATTATTGGCTTATAGACTGCAACCAGTTCTATTATGAATGTGTATAAAACCTCGCACGATTTGTGCCTGACATGCACATTAGAATTTAAATGCGATTACTTGAAATTAATGGTTTCCTTGGCATTTCCTTGAATCGATTTAAAAATAACTATCGTCCGAACCTGATGTCATAAGTAGAATATTTAAACTGCTAATTGAAATGAAACATTCTAGATGCTGGCCTGCTAAATGAAAACGAAAGCAAACGACAGATTCTAGGTTGCCCAAACCGGTTAAGCGAGAACATTGAACAGTGGCAGTTCTTAGTAACCCACTCGCTTCTGGGCTAAGATCGGTCGTCTTTTCGATTCCGGCCGGCGCGCCTTGCATTTTTGTAAACAAGTGTTAGTCATGCCTCAGCTGACCAATTGGCCAATCTCATAAATTAGCGGCTGTAGTTAGACTGATTGCCGCATGTTGCATGTTGTTTAATTTGCTGTTTGCAGTAATTGTTTTATCTATCAATTTTGAGCGGTTAATTACGCTGTTGTTTTTTCCTTCTGGGTCTGTATTTAAATAATAAATTTTTATTGACATTTTAACAGTAAAACCGCCAATTGTAATGGTTTGTCGGTTGAATGCTTTTCATTTGAGCTGCTGGCATAGTTGCTGTTGTTGTTGCAGTTTATATCTACTGCTGTTCATCCGGTCGTCCATTAACATAATCATTTAATTAACCAAAGCTGTACACACACACACACACACACACAGATACATTATAAACTTGATAAGGCAACTCATAACGCAGAAATTATTATTGAAAATGGAAAAAAAAAGAAATTGAATTAATTTATGTTTCACCTAAATGACAGACATTGTCAAGATGCAAATAATACAAATAAATGAATAATTTAAGTTGAATAATGTACACATTTACAATTTGCAACTACATTATTTATTCACAACAATGCCAAATGATATGTGATATGCATATGGCATAGCATTATAACAGCCCCAAGGCAATTAATTCCCAAACGCGAGTCAGAGAGAGTGAGAGCCATTATATCAAACAACTCGAGCGCAATTTATTTAAATATAAGTGCATACTATATATCAGATCATAATGACTGCATGCTCGATTAACTCTAGCTAAGGTGAAAGACAATACAATATTAACTCAAAGGCTAAGTTTGGAAATTTCTATTATATCATATTATAATTTTAAAATAATATTTACTAATAAGCCAACCAATCAGAGATGTTAATCTTGCATCTTGATTGTATATATTTCATCTTATATCTTTACCAATCTGAATTACCATCACTCTTCGAATTTTCTAAAATAAAATAATCTATCAAAATTTCTAGTAGTTTTGATCAAATATAATACATACTCTATCAAATAAATAACTACTTGCCCAAGGTCCCTCCGATTAGAATAGATGATCTAATTACTGCTATTGACTTTATATATTTTAGTAAAAATTGTTTGTGTATTTTGCCTATGTCTAAATTTGGCAAATTGCTTTCTATCTCGCTTTCAGTTGAAAATCTCTGAAGTCTTTAGGATTTACTTCAATTCCTAACCTAACTCAACATTTTGATCTCTTGCGAACTGCTGTTGAGCACGGCACTCTTAAGCCATCCATCAATGCTTGTCATCTATGACATTCCTTTCTAAATGCATATCATAACTTTATGGGCTACGTGTCCTGCAAATATCATGACAAATAATGACAAATTTGCATTTCAAGTCATGCAGCCTGCACTACAGTGACTCATAAATAAATGAATATCAAGTGAGAGAGTGCGGGAGCATTGAACTCCGCCGAGCAGGCTAGAAGTGTGTTAACACACACACACCCCCACTTGGGGGCAACAAATTCCAGCGAAAAACACTTGAAGAGCTCTGTCTATATATATATATATATATATATATATATATATATATTTATATGGTATATGGTAGGTATCTTGTGGTCGGGCACTGAATTCAAGCTCATAATCGTTAGCCGCAAGAGCTGCAATCAGAGGTTCAGTTTTTCTAGCACTACCTTTAGACTCTAGACACAATAGGTGTTTTGTGGCACTTGTAACTATCTATCATTTGGGTTTGTGGCAAATTTGTATGTTGAGTTGCTGTTGTTGCTGTTCTTTGTTGTTGCTGTTGTTGCTGTTCTTTGTTGTTGCTGCTGTTGTTGCCATTGTTGTCTAGGCTGTGCTGCTAGAGCGGCAAGACATTGCCGGCCATATAAATCAAGAAAATTGCTGACATTTAAGCACGTTTCATTTCATTTCGGTTCGTTTACACAGCAACAGCAGCAACAACAACAGCAGCAACAACAACAGCAACAACAACAACAGCTCTTTTAGAAGCATTTCCGCTAAATGTTGCTGCCTGCTGACAGTCTTGTGGCCTGTTCTCTTACCCAAAAAAGAAAAAAAAACAGTTTTTGCATATAGGTACTCTCCGTTGTAGCGCCATAATGATATTTAAATATTTACCTACATTGCTGCCGGCATGCAACAACGTATGTGGGTTAATCTGCGTTTGAATTGTTTGCCTATTGTTTGTTGCTCGTTGTTCGTTGTTGTTCTGTTTGCTGTTGCTGTTGCTGTTACTGTTGCTGTTATTATTGTTTGTTGTTGTTGCTGTTGTTGTTGAGGGTTTGGCGCGTGGCTTGTGCGTCATCTATGTCATCGTAAGCTCAATAGTTTCTAACGCGTCATATCGAGCAATAAATCCGCTTTAGCCGCCTTGCCTTAGTTACAGATATATACATATATATATATATATATTTTTATATATATTTTCAAATTTACCGCATCGACGACAGCCTGAGCTGAGGCTTTAAATTGCAACTGCCACCAAAAATGTGGCATGCAAATTGACTTTCGAGTAGCGTCAGCGCATTTAAGAGTTGTATATATCTGTGGCTGTTGTTGTTTTTCCTTTGCAAGGCTCCCCGCAACACTTGTTTGGCCCCATAAATCAGCGCAGATACAAACAGCTAATATGTGTCTGTGTGTGTGTGTGCCTGCCCCTAATGCAGCTGTATATATATACGTATGTGTGTTGGCCATTTCATTTGATTTTGTTGCCACAAAATAAAAACTTTTCAAGCGTGACTTGCTGCTGCGATGTAGCAATAACAAAATGGCAACACATATATACATATATTGTTTGTATTTGTTACGCTTTTTGCTGCCGCTGATACTAAACCGCAGCAGCAGCAACAGCAGCAGCAGCAACAGCCAGTGCAAAAAAAGTATGTATATTTGAAAGAAGCATCAAGGAGGAAAAAAAATACGTCGCGCAACCAAATGCGGAAATTTATTGTGTTTTTCGTTGGTTTTTTCGGAAATGTTTTGAACGCTTAAATTGTTTATCGCGGTGATTAGCATGCTTGTGGCAACATTTTAGGCCAAGTGCTTGCTTATTTGCTCGTTCAAGCAATGTGAGCGACTCTCGTTGCATAATTTTTAATTCAACAACATCAAATGCTGCGGCAACATCGACCACAGCCAACTTGAACTTGACAATGCGCTTCTTGCATTTGTTGTTTCGGCCTCATTAAGTTTTGTTGCCGTTGTTAAGTTTAACAACATCGCAAATTGTTACCAATTACAAAATAAAACAGCTAAAATCGCCTGGCAAAAATGCATAGCACGCAATTAGCTATTGGCTTTACATATTTTGTTTTGCTGCTCTTGCTTTCAGTATTTTTTTGCGTTGCTGAGTTGAATAACCAAAAAAAAAAAAAAAGCGTCAACAACAATGTGTCGACGGAAACACCACATTGATGGCCCAGATGAAACAAGTTTTTGTTGTTAATGGGCATGTTTGGGGCGTGGCAGGGGGCAGCTTGCGGCGTAGTTAAAATGCCTGCTGTTTAAAACACGCAGTTTATTTTTCAATTGAAAAGACATTTCAATGTCAATGTCATGCAAATGTGGCTAACAGAAGAATTGGCCTGGCTAAGAGCTAAGACTAAGTCTAAAGATAATTTAACAAAGATCATTGATTTTGTTGTTGTTGTTGTTGTTGCTGTTGTTGCTGTTGTTGTTACTGATGATGCAAGCATAGGCAGCCGAGCCGAACCAAACAACGCCTGTTGTAACTTATTTTGCACTTTTAAAGGCGTCGCCCCGATGAGGTAATGAAATCGAAGCAAAAATCAATAGATACAGATACAGATACAGATACACGGCAATAGATACGTGCAAGCGAATGCTGGTGTTGGGGAAACAAATACAAAACAAAAATGAAGAAAAATGCAAGTAAACGTGTCGGGTTGCTGCAACATGGGCCTCTGGCTCGATTACGCTTATGGTTGGTTTGCATTTCGATTTTTGCCTTTGTATTTTCTGTTCATTTTTCCGCCTTCTATTTGTGAAGTTGGTAAAAGTGGGGCAAGCGCTCGAGCGATAGTTGATCAGATAGAGTTGATCACTTATTGCACAAGCAGCAGCAGCAGCAGCAACACCACCACCACCATGACTACCTCGCTCGAAATGTTATAACACACTTTGATTTTTGAAAACACTATTTTTTTCTTTGGAAACACTGGCGTTGCTCAAGTGTCCTTCAGCAAGGTGCACGCTCGCTGATTACGCAAGCGTGCTTGCTCCTGAAGAGTTTTCTTCATTTTTTTCTCTCTGAGTTGACTTCTTTTTTTTATGTATTTTTATTTTATTATTTTATTTTTTTTTGGTAACATCATATAACTATCAAGTAATACATACCGGCTCCGAATAATGCCACAAATACAACTAAAAATTTCTTCATTGTGTGGTTGTTTTTGTTTGTTTGTTTGTTGTTGTTGTTTCGTAATAACGTTTTTAGCCGTTTGTTGTTGTTGTTGTTGTTGTTGCTCGACGAAACGTAACCCGAATCTGAGATTGAGCAAAAAGGGGGAGAAGCACTTTTGAAACCAAAAAACTTGACAAGCGCACACCACTTGGACCGACGAGACTTGAAACTGTGTGTGGCTGTGGCTGGTGCGGGAGCTTTTTATACCGCTGCGCATGCGCGCCAGCAGCGAACAATCCAGACGAACGTTGGCGTCAACTGAGCAGCGGGCGTCGCTGCCAGCGCTGACAACTGTTGCGGGTACAGCGATAGCGACAGCGACAGCGACGCGTTCGTTCACTTGCAACGGTACCAAGCGCAGCCCAGGCTCATAGCAGTCAGCTTTGGTGTTACTTACACTCGTCCTCTCTCTTTTTCGCACGCTTACCACAACCATCTCTCTTCCTTTCGCTAGCGCGTTGTCTCTTTCCCCCTCTCTCTCTCTCGCTCGCTCTATCTCTTGCGCTGGGTAATTGTAATTGTAAGCGTCGCGTCGCGTTAACTGTAGTTGCCTGTTTTGTATGCACGCCGGCGCAGCGACGTCGACAGCGCTGTCAGCGTCGTTGCTGGCAGCGCACAACCTAAGCATTGTTTTTTTTTTTACGTGTATGGGTTTTTTACTTTGTTTTTTGAATGCCCCCAAAGCCGTTCGTCAATTGATCTGCGTTGTTACGTTTTTTGCATTTTGAGGCGGGGGTTGCAAATGGAATTTTTGCCTGAAAGTTCAGCAAGCTTGTGTGTGTGTGTGTATGTGTGTGTGTGTGTGTGGGCAACAAACATCCATTTGGCTTGTAGCTAATTATGACTTGGAATATTTTGTTGCACGGGTGCCGGCCTGAGGGCACGGCTTCTATTACCTACCCAAAAAAGCAGCAAGTATTTTATTGTTGAACTTCACCTTATTGGCTGAGCCACTGTATATTATTGTAGATACATATATTTGTAGGTGTCTGTGTGTGTGAGTGTGTGTGTGTGTGTGTGTGCGCCTTTCTGTCTTGCGGCTGAGTCATGCGCCTGGCATTTCTAGCAGACCGTAGCTGGAGGCGCATTGCGCATACGCCACGTTGTCTGTATGGAATCAGTCGCATACCCTTGAGGGGACGTGACGCGTATAGAGCATTATCTATGTATGGATATGATCAGGCACAATATTGAGCTATCTAAGCTATATCTCTCTCAATACCGGATCAGCCTCAATAGTGGAGTCAATTAAATTATATTATAACTTTAATGCGAACATGCGCCTTAGTTTTAAAGCTTTTTCTATTGCCTGATCGGACTAAGCTTGTTTGCTCACCAAAATAACTTAATCCAACTTATTTGTGCTTCTCAAATCTTGTCTTATAAATATTCATATTTCTCACGAATTTTTAAATCAATAGTTAAATTTACGTATGATCATTAAGAGATAAATGAATGCATTAGTGAGTAGGGTATTTAAATTTCGAGTTAACAAGCATTATTGTGATCTCTCTCTGTCTCTCTATTTATTTCAATTGACGTATTTAATGTAAATCAATGCAATTAACATGATTTCTTAATGCAAAAGCAATCTGATGGTCAACTGGTGGCCGGCAATTGATATGCTGCTGCACTCACATAAGCCACATAAACAAATACGCACTAAAAAAAAAAAGAAAATGAAATAAAATAAAATGAAAACAGGCCGTTAACTGTCGATCCGTGCAAGTAAGTAAAAGGTAGGCCAGCCAGTTGCAGTTTGTGTTGCAGTTGCAGTTGCAGCAATTGCCATTTTGCAGGCGGCGACTATTAAAACTGACCCAGCGCGGCGGTCAACTACGGTCCACTCAACCACGACGCCGCCAACAACAACAACAATAGCAAAAACAATATTTTTGTTGTAAATGTGTTCAATTAAATGCAAGAAATGTGATTCAAGGTTTCGGAATGCAGGAAGAATATGAAATTACAGACAGAGACAACAAGAGAGGCAGCCGCAACTGCAACTGCTGCTGCTGCTGTTGTTGTTGGCCAGAACAATTACAGCTGCCATCGAGCTCAGAGTTGTCGAGAGTTGTGTGTTATTGAAGTGGTCTCTAGAAAACCTGGCGGCTGGCTGCCCACAGTGCCAGACAGGCAGCGAACCAGTTTTAGAAGTGGCAAAACAAAATAAAAATAAGAAAACTGCAGCAAAAATAAACACAAACTAAGCTACCTTGTCAGTTATGCTTTCGCTTTCAATAGCTGCTGCTACTACTGCTGCTGCTGCTGCTGCTGCAGCTAGTTGCAATATGCATTGTCGACTAGTTAAATATGCACATTCATTTACACACAGAGAGCATAAATAAAAGGCCATCACGGCATATAGTTTTTTTTTCTTTTTTTCTTTTTAGTAGCAGCAGCAACAGCATCAAATATTTTGTCGTGCTGCTCAGGAGCTAAAAGTCAATAGTTTTTATTTTCTGTTTCTTTTTTTAATTCGATTTTTAGGGATTGTTTGGCTAGCCCCCCCAAAAAAGTCACCCAAAACTTGTTTGCCATGCAGCTGTCAGACAACTATGTTGAGTCTATTATAGATTTAAGCATTTTTATACCCTGTATTCATTGGTTTAAAACCGGCAACAGGTAGTTGTGCAAAAGAAGAAGGCAAAATACACCGTTAATCACATAAAGTGTGTTGAGAATGAATATAGGGTATTTGCAAGTCGTTCACTCGCAACTAGTGCACTCTTTCTAGTTTTTCGCATGGCATTTTGGGGAGTGTGCTGCCGAGGGCGTGTTATGTTCGTGGCAACGGGTTCCAATCCTAAAAAAAAAAAAATAAAATTGAATGCCAAATTTGTGCCAGAGCTTTGCAAATTCTTTCAGCCAGCCCAGCTTCGATGCCTTTGCTGCTGGCCAGCAGACTAAGCGATTGGCCAACGCCAACTTAGCTCGTAGGAATTTGTAGACAAGAAATTGAAAAGTATTTGAAAAATGCATAAATTGCATCAGCCTTTTGTAGTGGTTTTTAATTGTTGACTTTAGTCGGTTAACTTTTGTGGGTGGGTGCGCCATTAGTGTTAAAGTCGATTACAACGCCACGTTGACGTCGCATGTGCAACGCGGAAGAAAAGTTGCACGCTGCTGTTGGTTTGGCCTACTCAGTCCTCCCCTCGACCACGCCTGGCCATGCCCAATTGCATGCCATTTGTATGCTATCTGATTCGTCGCAACACCCAAGCATTTAATTTGTGTAAGTGTGTGTTTGTGTGTGTTTGTATGTGTGTGTGTTGAATTAAGCCAAACACCGCTGAATTGGCCGGTAGTTGTGGCTTGTCACTGTTTTTGGCTGTGCAACGTTCTTAGCTCTCGCGTTCAGCAAGTGCATTTCGAAACGGTAATTTGTCGTTAACTGTCGCTGCGGCAAGTTCGTGAGTGGAATCTTTCGTTTTTTGTCATTCGCCTCAAATATAAACGCAAAACCCGTTAAAGCGGATTTTTCATTGCATTTCGTATTACATTGGACGTGCGACGCACGCAGTGAAGGTGTTAATGGGTGCGAGTAGTCGACTATTTCTGGCCTAGTTCTGGAATATTGGAACCTGTCTAAGGCGGGCGGCTAATTGGCCTGGCTAAGGTCAGGCATTGACATCACGTTAATAACTGCTCAAATTAAGGCTGAATGCAAATAATTTTTAATTAAACAACGACCTCGCTAGATGCGCTATCGCTAAAACAAATAAACTAGGGCCTGTCTTAGCCGAAGGCCAATACCCAGTAATATTAATGGCCTAGCCTAGCTTAGTTAGCTTAGTTGTGAATGTTGATTATAAATACCTGTAATGCAAACATTAAAAATTGATAGAAATATTTGTGATTCAGTGATTGAAAATGTTAAAAATGTTAATAAACTAAAATGAAAACAATATTTATTAGAAGCACTCAGAAATTTATGATTATATTAATGATAATGCTCTTGTTTAACAGATCAGAATAAATCACAACAGAAAAACATCTTAATATGATCTATAACAATTATAATTAATGTTTTACTATTGTTTAGATACTTCTGTCGTCGGAATCATAGTTTTTTTCTTGAATTAACGACCTCGGTCAGCTTTAAATCCCTTTCATACATGGATAGCTTGAGCCACAAACAAATTCTAATAAAGGCCACTGAATAAAATCTTTCGCAACATCCGAAAAGACGCTTTATGATCATTCAAAGAATTCTGAATTTATTAATAATAACAATTTGAATTTTATGCCGTCGTGCCTGCCAATTAGTGAACATGAAAATAAAAGTTAACAAGATTTCCGGAGAATAATTTTAATTATTAACATGTTACGAATGGTACTTATTTTACTTTATTGTTTCGGCTTTATATGATGAATCTTCATGTATTTTTTGACATACAAAAAAAAATCTTTACAATGTAGATTTTTGTGGAAAACCTTGGCTTGCCATTTGAGGTCATACAGAATCGCATACATATTGTGATACACTGTGACGAACGGGATTACTTACACTACCTGATCGCAAATATCGGATTTTGCAACTATTTGATTTGTTAAAACCTTGAAACTTTCCATATCATAGACAAAACTACAATAAATATTTGCTTAGCTGCATTTACGCTTAGATCGCTCTCAAATTGCCTCGTTGGGTTATATTGACGACAGTAATTTTTACAACAATTTACATAAGTTTGTTACGTTGTTTAGTGGTCAGTCCCTTTGGGCGTTTAGAGCCCGCTTGTAAAACCTTTTGGACTAGTAGAAAAGTGCAGCTGGAACTGCAACATTTTTGTGCTTTAGTCGAACGTAACGGCATGATTTCTATATGTTGTACAATGGATATATATTTCTCATTTCTCATTTCACAGTTCACAGTTTTTCCATTTATTAACTAATTTCGGATTTACGTAATCCCCAAAGCGCACAGGCCCCAACGACGGTATTTACACGCAACCAAACAACAGTCGAGGTCAATGATCAGTGAAATTTACTTTCAAAATTATCTGCTTTTCAGCTTTTCTGTTGACTGAAAAGCGCTCGGCGATTGGGCGATTGGGCGATCAGGCAATCAGCTCGGCAGCGGAAGCCTAAACGTTTGTTAGATCAATTTGTAGGTAATATCGAAAACGAGACCAACCAAAAAAAAAAAGGCAAAACAAAAAGAAAACGAAAAACAAAGTGCTTTTGTAATGTGGTCTGAGCTTATGGGACAATGTGTACAATGGCCAAATAGGGCACAGCCAACGCCCCAGCTCTTGTCATAACTAAAGTCGAGAGTCATTATAATTATTATCATCATCATCAGTCCGCACCTACCTAGAGATACTTAGGTTTATATGTATTTATGTATGAAATATGTTTGCTGGCCATTAGCCGGGCCCCAGACCCAAGCCCGTTCCGACAATGGGGCGCTGCATTTTACCACACTTGAAATCGCAATACAATGAATACATCTGCATAATTAATTTCCACTAACGAAGATGTTGGAGTTAATGAGTGTTGTGCTGTGTTGTTTTGCACCAAAACAAAAATTGAAGGCAACAAACACGCGCAGGTTGTTGACTTCTTGTTTTGGGCCCACTTTCGGATTCGGCTTCCATTGTCTATGCAATTGGCCGCAGCTGTCACACTGGGGTGGCGCCACAATAAAATACACTTGCCACATCCACACCCACACCCACACACACAGATGGATTTTTAATTATGGTCATTTCGAGCACTTGAAATTTGGCGCAAAACTAATCGGCCAGCTATTCAATTTGATTAAAATTGCACAGCTTGCCCAATAAGCTGATGTGTTTTTAATTATAATTATAGACTTACTCACGATTTGGCTTGTCAATTTAAGTTAGAAATCTAAACTCTCACTCATTATCCTGCGGAGTATTTGGGCCAATTTCAGCTGATGTCACAAAATGAACCAAGGTCGACTTTATATTGTTATCTGCATATCGTGTTTTCAACAACGGGCATTGCTTGCATTTTCGTTTAATGGATTAAATATGCATGAGTCGAGCTTGAATCGAAACTGAATCGATTTAAGCTCATTTCTGACCCATAAAATATGCATTGTATCTTTTTTTCGATTATTTTTTTTTTTTGTGCTGAGCACGCCTTTTGCCAAAAACTAGGTTATAACCTTGAAATCCGCCACAAAAGAAACGTTGAAAATCTCAACCTTATCAATAAATTCATGTCGCTGCGACACAAAGCGCGGGCATCGCATCAAAAGAAAGCGCGACAAAAAAAATCTGCGTATTCAAATCAATGCTAAGTTCTATTAAAATGCTAAATAGTCGAACTAGCCAGTTTGCCGGTTTCGCAATCAGAAATATGCCAACACGTCAGGCCAACAGCTGCGGCCAGCAGAGAGACCAGATTGTTGGCTGCATTATAAATTGCCAAAGGTCAGGCTTAGGCAGCATAACGGTGCAGCAAGCGCATCCCCAGACAGACAGTAAACAGTGTCCCACTCTGTGGCTGTGTCATCATCATCATGGTAATGATAATGATAGTGATAATTATGATCATTATGATCATTGCTACACAGGCCGCATTCATCTTAAAAGCTGTTTGGCAACAAAACAAAACGAATAACAATTAACCATATAACGAACATTTTTACAAATTGACAACGGCCGAGCTGAAGACGACGAGTGAGATAGTGAGACAGAGAGAGAGAGACAGTGAGAAAGAGTGAAAGAAGAGAGCAAACGAGACAAAAAAAAAAACTAAACTGGATTTATAATTTCGATGGGTTAAAGAAAAAAAAAACACGCAAGAAATCGAGCCAAGGTCATTGCGAAGCGGCCAAAAGCTGCGAAAGAAATTGTGGAATCATGTGGAATAATAGTACACTGCAAAGAATCAAAGATCGAATAGCAATACCCACTGAAAAGAAGAATTTCCTATAGCAATAAATTGAAAGAATTGTTTTGAGCATTTCGATATATTGCAAAGTGCCTTTTGGACTAAGATTATATTCAATATGAAACCAGTTTCTATATTCACTAAATACTCTTTTGTTTGTAATATGTGATAAATGTGTTCAGTTTTATATTATATTAAATCAATTTTGCCAACCAATCACCCTAATTTGCTCAGTGTACATTTAATCGTGGATTGCGATCGACCATTCAGGATTGGCCAGCAATGGCACTTGAAGCTGATCATATTTTTGTTCGCTATGGCAGAACCACTTTTCGATTGCAATTACTGGAAAGACGGTAGCAAATTAAGAAGATGAAAATGAAGATCTTCATGCGCAGATAGGCAGAGGTGAGTGAAGCGACATGTTAAACATGTTTTTTGCGAACCCGTCAACAGCTCTGCTGAAATCCGGTTGCTCAAAAATGCGTAAAGTGGGACGGCGACGACGTCGCTCCTTTACAATCCAATAACAGCACTAACAACAACGCTCAGCAATATTATTATTATTAAATGCCTGACAACTGGTCGGGCAAAATGCCAAAACCCAACACACAAAAAAAAAAAAAAACCAAAAACTAAAAACAAAAACAAAAAAACCAAAACAACATCAATTAACAGTCGCATACAAAAAACAAAAATCAATCTTGTATGATTGTTGTTGTGTCTGTTTGGAATTGATTTGTTTGTGGCCTCAATGGCAGGTGTTGATCAATAAAAATGCAACTAACTTGGGCCAGGCACAATTGCGTAACTCGCGCATATTTTCAGCTCTGAGCTCTCTGCTCTCTGCTCTCGAGGTGTGTGCCCCAACAATCAGTCGCATTGAGAATCACTCTTGCCGCAACAGTTATTGTTATTGGCTCTTGCTCAAGCGTGGCCTAAACTTGAACTAGTACTGAAAATTGGCCTGATAAGCGACAAGACGCTTATCATTTGAATGAACCTGCGGCAGACCAAATGGGGTTATCAGCTGGCAATAGCGAAAACCTATTCTACAATTAAATCAAATCTAGTCGAGAGTGCCGGACTAGAAGACACCATGTACCTCAAACAATACCTATCATTAATCACACACTTTAATATTCAAAACGTTTAATTAACGTTGAGGTGTTAATAATATGGCAACGCTCAAAGACTGTTTTTATCGTACAAAAGAAATTAACTTAATCTATCACTCTGACTATCTGAAATCGACATCTACAAAAGGATATGACTATGTCAATATATATATTTGTTTATGCTGATTAAGAATATATTCAGTTTTTAGGAAGAGAGATGCTTTTTCTAGCCATTCCAAATTTGTATAGAACTGCATGATACCCATCTTTCACGCATTCTTAAAGGGAACAGGGTATAGAAATTATGATGATGTGATTTTTTTTGGCAGCACTTTCAGTATTTGCTGACACTTAGAACGAGACGGAAATCGAGGAAATCATGCGTTGCCAACTGCTGACAATTTGTCTGTTTTTGATAGTGGTAAGATCAGGTGGAAGTAGCTCAGTGAGAGCTATATCTAATCCTGTTAACCCACTTGCAGCTGGAGAGCTCAGCGTGGCTGCCTGGCGAAGAGAGCACTCTTGATAAGTGTCTCAAAAACTATGGAGGAATGAATACAGCCTTGTTGGAGCGCTTGCAGCGTTATACGCAATGGTCAGATAGCTATGAGGAGGTGCCTTGCTTCACACAGTGCTATCTCAACGAGATGTTTGACATCTATAGCGACATAGCTGGCTTCGATGAGGAACGCACTAAACAACGGTTCGGCGAAGCTGTTTACAATGCCTGCAGAGACCGCCTCCAGCCGAACCAGTTGGGTTACGGAGGGAAAGAGCAGAGCAGCTGTGAGCGCGCTTATGCGGGCTTTCACTGCATTGCCAGTGTGAGTGATAAGAACTCATATGCCAGCCAAGTGGCTTGCTGGCTGGGGCAGCGACCGCTAAGCTGATTACACACAAATGTTTCGTGTTTTTCTCTTTTTTTTTTTGCAGTTGGAAAACGATCCACTCATATTGATTGACAATTTGCCAAATATAACGGATGCAGCCAAGTCCGCAATGAAAGAGTGTCTGCAGAAAACGGATCGCGTCTTATGGGATCGTTTTGGGGACTATTCCCGGTTTCCCGTTACCGAGCCCATACCCTGCTTTACCCATTGTTTCATAGGCAAACTGGAACTGTTCGATAAGCACAAAAATCGCTGGCGTTTGCCGGCAATGAGACAAATGCTGGGCGTTCCCGGCGTTGGCGCCAAAGTGTCTAGTTGTCCTCGTCGACGTGCCCGCAATCCCTGTGCAGCGGCTTATCAACAGTTCACCTGCTTTGTGTTGGCCGTCAAATAATAAGATTAGCACGGAATATACAAGACATACATTTTTTGATCGAAAACGATTTGAATTTAACTTCAAAAGAACAACATCAAATCACGTGAAGTTTTCAAAGTAAAATGCCATTTTATAATAAAGCAACTTGCCAACTTGAATCCTCAATCGGATGCCTTTTTAATCTGTAAAGTAAAATGAGACGTTGCAACAGAAATGAACATGTTATTCAAATAATGATACAAAATGTATTATTGACTTCGCTGAGGGAAAAAGGGCCAACCCAGATAACTAGGTTAATCCCCAATAATATCATGCATTTAGGCTGCTCATTCATTGAGTAATAAGATTGTAAACATTGGCACATAAAAGCCCCCCCAGTCTACAAGCAAAATATGACCGCTTACAGAGTTCGAGTTGGCAATCTGTTTCGGAGAGTGTTAAGCATGAGTGTCTTATTAATTTATAATCTTATAATACAATGTGCCTAAGCTAGTTTGGTTGCATTGAGATTGCCGTTGTGTCGCTCCCAGCATAGATACTCCTCGTACATCCAAGCACATTTGCTGGCCGCCAATTTTCGCTGCTCATCGCTGCTGCGGCACTCGCTGTAGTCCGGCTGCCATTGATCCTGATCCAGTCTGCTAGGCCCGAAGGCCTCTTGCCAGTTGAGCAGCTGCCAATTGCCTGTCTCATCGTAGAAGCGCAACGCATCGGCAAAGCACTGGAAGAGGCATGGAATGGACTCCTTGGACTGCAGTTTGCTATACTGCAGCAACTGTACATTGCTGGCATTCAGCTGACTGCTGCACTGCAGCAGAATCTGCAGGCTGTTGCCCGCATGCAGCTCCGCCTTCTTCAGACAGCGCAGACCACGATGAGCATAGCTGCAACCATCTTGAGATTTGCGCAGCAGCTCAAACCGGCAATAGTTGTAGATATCGGCACCGAGTTCCTCGGCCAGACGTTGTCTGTGCCACTTGTTGGTCGGTATATCGAACCAGCCCTTCTCGCTGGCCAGACATCGCATCAGGCAGGGCAGCTCCTCGCTGCTCCAATCCGCATAGCGTTCCAGCTTCCTCAAGTCGCTATCAATGCGCTCGGGGCTACTAATCTCGCGCAGACACTTCTCCAATATCTGTGCGTCTCCGGTGAGATCAGCGCGTGTCTGTGAACACTTTGAGGTTGTTAATGAAAGTTGTTAGCTTAAAGCTGAAGACGCACCACAGCGCACCACAAGGCCAACCAGCTGACAGTCAGGCGTAAAAGTAGACGCATCTCAATGCTTGGAATGCACAATCTCAACTGAGTGCCGAGACGAGCGCAGCATCTGAGCCCGTAAATAGCTACTGTTGCGCTTATCAGCTTCCCCTCAAGAGATTAAGCGGGTTCAATGAATGTATTATGTATAAATGCCAAGAGATGTCGCAGTCTTTTGTAAATAGAACCACTTGAAACACTTGAACCACCACTGCCTAGGTCAGGTTTCTATTTTGTTTTTCAACATTTTTATTTTGGATTTTTATTATCACATGAATATTATATGTAGTATTTATTTTGGTTGACCATAAATCTTGCGGACCACATGACGATTGATGGGTAGCCAGCAGGACCAGACACGATTTGCCCAGGTGCAGATATCGGACTCGGCCTCATTGTGATCGATGCACTTCTCCAGTCCATGACGCACTGGCTCCAGATCTTTATAGTTGTTCGATGTGAACTGCGCTATAATTGCCTTCTCGTTGAAACCCTTCAGCTCGGTGAATAGACCCATTTTCTCCAAGAAACACTTCACATAGCAATTGGTGCGACCATGTTGGGGGAACTCATAGTTCAGGAACTTTTCGTAAATGTCATCGGGCACCTTATAATCTGCGTGGCACTCCTCGTGCGCCTGCACCGCATCTTCGTGCGTGCGTATCTTAAACTTGGCGGCTGCCACCTTCAAGAGAAGAACAAGAAGAAGAGGTGGAGTATTATAGCGGCAGTTGCGTACAACCAACCAAGGACAAAGCCTATTACCTGGTTAACAGCTAAAGTTGCAACAGCAACTGTAAGTAGTAAGGCGTAAAGTTTCATTTTGTCTTGGTGGCTGCTGTTGCTGTCGCTGCTGCTGTTGGACCGACTTCTGGCAGGGTCTGTATGCGAATGTGCCAAGAGGCGACATCAAGCGACGAAATCGAGGCAAGATTTTCCATAATTTATTTTGATATAGCCAATCGGCGACGACGACTAGAAAACAAAGAAATAAACCCAAGACGGCAAACTAACTGAAAGCTCAAGTGAATAACATGCCAAACCCGTTGTTGGCTGAACTGGATGGGGATTGTCCAATAGTGCAAGTGGTGCGGTGGTGTCGGTGGTGTCAGTGCTGCTGCTGCTGCTCTGTTTATACCCTTGCGTCAGTTTTGCTCTTAAAAAACGGGTAAGTAAAGCAGCGGCAACGACAAAACTAGTTTGGGTTTGGGTATCGACGTCGACGTTGACGTTGACGTTGACTTCAACTTCGCAGTCAACAGAATTGGTTGGGCCGCGCTGTGCCTGTGGTTATATCATCGACGACGACGACCACGTCGGTGGCTTTAGTACATAGTGGTGGTTACGTTTTGTTAAAGCCAATTAAACGATTTGTTTTTGTGCCACAAAATTTATTTTGTTGACCTGCCACACATTGTTGTTACTGTTAAAAGTCAGCGTTGAAAAATGTGTGTGCATTTTTTCGGTGCTGCAAATTCTAACACCTCTGCAGTCGGCAGTTTGCTGCACACTTCCGCAATGAAAATGATGGCGTTTTTCGGATACTGTTCACCATATTTACCTGCCACACAGCGAGAAAGCAAACTAAAATAACAAAATAACAAAATGAAAACATTGTTTTTTTTTTCGTTTTCTATTTTTTTTTATGTCACACGGCTGCAGACCCCAAATAAATTAAATAAATTATTCAATTGAATTTATTTATTGGTCGCCCAACGGACTTTTGCATTTGTGTAATTAACGGCAGGGTGAGAGAAATTCACAGATTGCCATCAGAACCACCATCAGATAGTTAGGCCCGGGGCTTTAACCCCGGACACATATCCAGAGACGTAGTCGCATCTAGGAAGAGAGAATGGGTTCGCATTCAATGATGATCCTTGTTTGAATACCCATCCAAAACTTTTGCACAAGTAATATTAAAATAGCACATAATTAAATTAACTTAGTATATAATTATTATCATAATTATTATATATATAATTACTATGATTATTACGTATATCTGCACTTTAATCAGCTTACGGGCAATTTCTTCCATTCTCATACGAAAAAAGTAATGATGAATAATAAATAGCACAGATGGTTTGATTTTTATATACCAATTTTAGATACCATTTCAGCTTATCTGCGCGTTGCTTTATTATTCCAATTGTTTTCCATTTACGAGTTTTTTCATTGAAGAGACAGTTACAATTATGGCTCCATGGAAATCTCTGGACCGTTAGATGCAGAAAGTTTATTGCCAAACTGCAATGCGCGGGTTAGGTCCCCTTAGCCACATTAACTGCCAGCCACTGGCTCTTAACCACAATCAACAAAAAAAAAACAACAAACAAAAAAAAATAGTATAAAAAAGTATTTGAAATGTCGCTGCGTTGGACCCACCATTTTATGGGACTGTCATCAACCTGCGAATCTTTATAAGGGTCACTATTTTCAGCTATCATTTTAACCTTTGATGCCATAAATTGAACAAACTGTTGGCAGCACCAAGCCACCCACGTCCAATCCCCCCACAGCCATGTGTAGTATTTATTTAAGAGCTCCAAAATATTTGCCAAACTCTTCAGAAATGCATTTTTTGTCATTTATTGAAAATATGTATCTAAATGGAACCGCATTAAATGCGATCGTTAAAAGTGTAAAGCTTCGAATGAAAAAGGCAGAGAATATACAGAATCACATTTAATTAAATTGTAGAGCGTATTAATCATGTATTAATATTTCCGGTTTCAATGATCGCTTTTTATTGTTAATTTAACATTTATTTTTAAATATATATTTTTATTTTTAATCGCTCAAAAGTTGAACTGAATTTGTTAACGAAAATACATTGAGTATTTCTTTTCAGTTAAAAATCTTTCTAACACCTTTTGAATTTTGAAGTAGTTTACCTTTATGCACTTTTGTAAAAGTGTTCTAGACGACCACAAGCATAAAGTAAACAACATTGAATTTCAATGTTGTTCTCTCTGCTGCATCAAAAAAATAAAAATAAAAACTGCAATGTACCTGGGCAATTAAAAAATACAAATGCCAAAAAGTTACATGGAAAACTACACGATTCTTTGTGTTTGTTTGCAGGTCAGCATTGTTTTTTTTCTTTATTTTTTGTTTTTGCAAAATGCAAAATGCAAATTCAATTGCACATAGTATGCATGCAGGATGTGTGCCACAGGATATCCGGCAGGTAGCCATTTTAGGCATATCGAAGGTCTTGACCAGAACAGCGGCAGCCCAAAAACTAAACAATAAAATTTTTGCAAGCCCTTTGCCTGCACAACTTGCAATAGCAATGGCAACAACAATCTAGTCCACAACCATCACACTTACTGGGAAAAACACTTAGGCTCTCGTATGAGTGGCAGTGGTGTGTGCAACATTTTTCCTATATTTCTCGTTATTTGCTTTTCTTCGATGCATTGGCCTATAAATCAGAAATTGAGCTGCGGTAACACAGTCATCCCTTCTCCCGCCCCCTTTCCCATCAACGGTTTGCCTGTCCTACTCCGCCTTTTGTCTTTGGCTCGTATATTATGAGCTGATATTAAAACATTTTACACACAATTTCGTTGCACAATCAATGTATGCCAGCCTGCTGGCCGGCTAGTGTGCCTGGACCTGGGCATGAATTATTATGCACCTAGGCGTATACGCAATGTTTAATTTTCAACTCGAACGACGGTGAACGCGCGCCCAGCACACATAAATTCTATTGCCGGCGACAAACGACTTGTTCAATTTCTCTATATTTTTGCACTGCCGCATACATATATGGCGTGCAGCATCACCAATTTTAGGGGCAAGAAAATATGTCCAAGGAGCAGTTACAATATATATATATACATATATATATATTTGTTTTTTTTTCTCTTTTTTTTTTTTTGTTACTACAAACTGAACAC